GGACATCATTATCTCAGTTACAAAACAATCAATAGGTGTATAACGGACATCATTATCTCAGTTACAAAACTATCAATAGGTGTATAACGGACATCATTATCTCAGTTACAAAACGATCAACACTCTTACTTTATAATTAATATCAACATCTAGGTTACGTTACAATAAGCATCTGTATCCAACTCAAATAAGAATGAATGTTCGTGATCATATTAAGAATGAAGGTCATGATATAGAACACTATTATAACCATAATCCATTAAATAATTCCATTTTTAGGTCACAATATACATCCTAAACAACTATGATCCATATGTAGGTCACAAGGAAGATGATAATAATTATAACAAGTTAAAGAATATGTTCATTCCTATTTCCCACATCTAGGTCACACAAAAACACCTACATATAGGTCAAGTTAAAGAATATGTTCATTGCTATTTTCAAATTATAGGTCATGATGAAGAGCGTGATTATAACCATATTCCATATGTAGGTCGCGATAGAGAATATGGTATAACATCCAGAGCAAAGAGCAGGTTTATAACCACATCCACATCTACTACTTACCCTCAGCATCCAAAATAGGTGGGATACCCAGCTGGCTGTTGGCGCAGGTGAAGGCATTGTTCAGGTTTTCTATGTGCTCATCAGGAGCCAGTCTATCATAGTTTATCAGGTCGGGTCTGCAAAAATAAAGGACACCTCACTAGATACTCAAGTGTTTCCCAATATAAATATGATATGTACTTAATTAATGTTGTATTATGTATTATTGTGTTCTAGTATTTTTACTTAGATTGTGAAAATTGCATAATAGAAATCTAGAAGAAACAAATTCTTAAGGTTTTTTATTTTGAACTTGTACCATCAGGTTACTAATACTAATTTGATTGATTACAGTTGATGAAAATGTATTGTACAACATTTAAAACAATTTAGCTATGATTTCAATATGGGATAAACCAAATCAAAATCGTTATTATTTAGATAGGTATAAGGATGACCTTTTCATACAGGTGTGATGTTAACCTTTCATTATAGGTGAGATGTTGATCTCTCTATACATGTATGAGGAATCTTCATACCTATTATACACAGGTGTGGTGTTTGACCTCTCTACACAGGTGTGATGCTGACCATACTACACAGGTGTGGTGCTGACCATACTACACAGGTGTGATGCTGACCATACTACACAGTTGTGATGCTGACCATACTACACAGGTGTGGTGCTGACCATACTACACAGGTGTGGTGCTGACCATACTACACAG